AAAACGGATGTGAGGCAAGAAGAGAAAACCACTTTGACACCACACCTACATCTAAACTGAGGGCAGACCCAAGTCCGTAACAATTGCCCTGGTGGCGTCCTCAAGGTATTCTCTCCCCCAACATGGACACACCAGAAGGAAAAAAGGCACTCACTCCATCTATCTGTTCCCCTTCCTGGTTCACACACATACATTCACATACATGCACATTCAAACCTCCAAATGCCTTCAGTCACAGCTCATGTATGTACGCCACACGCTTATTTGCATACCTTTGTAACTATGACATATCCACATGAATATGCATGTGTATTTGCATATTTTGAGTGTCTATCGTCTAAGTGATGTCTTAAAATTTTTAAGACTTTATTTATTTAAAGAACTGCTGGAGATATCACCATCATTGGCCTCAAATTGCTCTACAGAGCTATAGTAATAAAGACAGGATGATATTGACACAAAAACCAGTGTGTTGCTCAATAGAAATTAATTGAAGACCCAGACATAAATCCTCATGTCTATGGATACCTGATCTTTGACAGAGAAGTGAAAAATACACACTGGGGAAAAAAATAACACCTTCAACAAGGAGTGCTGGTCAGACTGGATGGTTGCATGAAGTAGAATGCAAATAGATCCATATTCATCACCCAGAATAAAAGTGAACTACAAATGGAACGAGAACCTCAACATAAGGTTGGATATACTGAATCTGATAGAAAATGAAAGTGGGAATAGCCTTGAACTCATGGGCCAGGAAAAGGCTTTCTGAACAGAACATTGATAACACAGGCACTAAGATCAATAATTAATAAATGGGACCTCATGAAACTGAAAAGCTTCCGTAAGGCAAATGTCACTATCATTCAGACAAAGCAGCAGCCTACAGAGTGGGGAAAGATTTTTACCAACTACACATCCAACAGAGGGGCTAATATCTAAAATATATTTTTAAAAAACTTGAAAAAGCTGGACATCAAGAAAACAAATGACCCAATTTAAAATGGGATATGGAACTGACATAGAATTCTCAAAAGAGTGGGCTGGAGAGAAAGCTCAGTGATTAAGAGCACTGGCTGCTCTTCCAGAGGTCCTGAGTTCAATTCCCAGCACCCATATAGCAACTCATAAATGTCTGCAATCCAGCTGCAAGTGATTTGACACTCTCATACAGACATAAAATCAGGAAAAACATCAATGTTCATAAAATTAAAAAAATACTAAAAAAAGAATTCTCTTGACAAAAAACACAACATTTAAAGAAATGTTCAACACCCTTAGCCATCAGGGAAATGTAAATTAAAACCACTTTGATATTTCATTTTACACCTATCAGAACAATCAAGATCAATGAAACAAATGACAGCTCTTGCTGGGAAAGGGGAACACTCATTCATTGCTGGTGGGACTGCAAGCTCATGAAACCACTATGGGAATCAGTGTGGCAGTTCCTTGGGAAACTAGGACTAGATCTACCAAAGGACCAGCTATACCACACTTGATCATGTAACCAAAGGACCACTAGAGCCTAGATGTCCATCAACCAATGAATAACCAATATCTGGTACATTCACACCATGGAATATTATTTAAAAAATTAGATAGTCAGGTGATGGTGGTGCACACGCCTTTAATCCCAGCACTGGGGTGGGGGCAGAGGCAGGCACATTTCTGTGAGTTCAAGGCCAGCCTGGTCTACAAGAGGTAGTTCCAGGACAGGCTCCAAAGCTACAGAGAAACCCTGTCTTTAAAAACCAAACCAAAACAAAACAAAAGATGCCCCCTTTGTGCCTACTGAATAGGTGGATGGCAGGTACTAAGGGTGGAGAAAAGAAAAAAAATTATGCCAGGTCGTGGTGGCAAAAGCCTTTAATCCCAGCACTTCGGAGGCAGAGGCAGGCAGATCTCTGTGAGTTTGAGGCCAGCCTGGTGTACAGAGAGAATCCCAGGACAGCAAGGGCTACACAGAGAAACAATGTCTTGAAAAATCATTTTTTTTAAAAAAAAGTGAAATCATGAAATTTTCAAGTAAATGGAGGGAGCTAGAAAAACATCCTCCTGAAGGAGGTATAACCCAGCCCACAAAAGACAGATACAATATGTATTCTCCTATGTGTAGATGTTAGCTTTTTAGCCTTCAGTATATATACTACAATCTGCAAAACCACAGAGGTTAGGTATAGGGTAAGAGACTGGGTGTGGAGACAATCTTCAAGAAAGGAGAAATAGAATAAATAGTTATGGGGATATTGGAGTGGGAGGATTAAATGGGAAGGCAGAGGGAAGAGGGGGTAAGAGAGGGAAGACAGGGAGGAGCAGCTAACAATAAGTGCCGTTTGAGGGCCATATGCAAACCTATTCCTGTTGATGTTTCCATATGTGTGTGTATATATGTGCATATATATGTATGTGTGTGAATGAAAGAAATGTAAATGAAGTCACAAAATAACAGGGCAACAATGCCCCAACTAGACTAGACATCTTTCCCCACCAAGTGAACCCTCCAGTGCCAGGAATAGGTTATATTTACTTGAATTGGCCAAAAGGGCCCCCGTGCAAACCCCCAAACAACTCCAGCTACTCGTGTACATATGAACCTGTGTGCCTCCAAGGCAGATGGAGTCCCAACTATTAGTATAAACTGATAGTAAGGCCCTATTTGTTGAAGACAGCACCTACATAACTCATAGAACATGAAGAAGTAGAATTGGTGTCTACCTAGAATCCTCACCCCTACTGACTAGTGTTCATGGTACTGAAAGGTACTCTGCCTGCTACCAAAGGAGAGGGGTAATCTCTAAGGTAGCTACAAGCCCTGTGGCCCACAACAGTGACTTTCCTGAAAGAAATGCTGATGCAATAGTGTCACAAGCATTGTGTGAGTAACCAAGCACTCTCTGGCTGGATTTGAGGGCCACTCCATGAGATGGTAGCCTTGTCTGACAATGCCACAGTGGCCAAGAACCTGAGATTGGATTGGCCATGGGTCTAGGGGAAAACCAAATACTATTGTTATGCTAAAGGAACATAGCAAAAAAAATGTCTCCAAACAACATTCTGCAATACCCAGAGATCAGTATCTCGCTCAGCCGTTATCAGAGAAGCTTCTTCTTGTAGTAGATAGGAGCTAACAAAGAGACCCCAAACTGGACAGTGTGCAGAGTGAGAAAATTGGGAACACTCGGTCCTAAATTGTAGCATGATTAATAAAAACCCAGAGACAGATATTGGGGTTCAATCTGAAGGTCAGAAAAGCAAAACAGCCATAAAACTCCAGTCTTATATTCTTCTCTGGTGCTGGGATTAAAGGCGTGCACCACTACTGCCTGGTTTCTATGGCAAACTACTGTGACCACTGGGAATAAAGATGTGTGTCACCACTGTGTGGTCTGTAAATCTGACCAGGGTGGCTGTTTTACTTTCTGATCTTCAGGCAAGCTTTATTTATTAAAATACACATGAAATAACACTACATTGTGTTCATCAAATCCTTCCCCCTCAGGACTCAGGGAGCTCTGCAGGAGAGGAGAGAAAAGACTGTAAGAACCAGAGGGAATGGACGACAACAAAGGAACAGTGTCTTCCAGACCAATAGGACTAATGTACATATGAACCTGTATGCAGGTCAAGTCAGATGGCGTCCCAAAACAGAGAGGGGGAAGTGGACATGGCCTCCCACTCCTGACCAAGAAGCCATCTTCACCTGACAACTGCTTGCAAAGGAAAATTTCTCTCAAATGGAGTCTCACAGGCTTATGAACCATACTTAGGGGAAGACACCAGGCACAGGAAGAACTCAATGGTGTTTTTGCAGGCTTTTTGTTTTATATTTCTTATCTTATGGGCCTTTTGCTTGTACATTATTCTTTTCAATTTTGTGTTTTCATGGATTTGGGGTTTATGATTTTTTTGTTCTTTGTTTTTGTTTTTGTTTCGGCGTGTGTGTGTGTGTGTGCGCGCGCGCTCGTGCATGTGTGTGGTGAATGCATGTGTCTGGGCACAGGAATTAGAGGTGGTTGTTAGCTGCCCATCACAGGTGCTGGGAAACTGACTGGGGTCCTCTGAGGGAGCAGCAAGTGCTCTTAACCTCTGAACTCTCTCCAGCTCCCACTTTCTCCTCTCTACGTAATCAGGATGTCCAACAGTGAAATGTTACCACCTTCATTCAGGGTTTTCCCCATCGATTAACCCAATCTACCAACCCCCTCACAGGCATGCCCAGATGTGTGTCTTCTAGGTAACCCTCCATCCTGTCAAGCTGACAATCAAGATTAACCATCACAGAGTTATGAATTCGACAAACATTTTATTGCATTTATTTATTATTTGTCTACTGCGTGTGTGCACATGGTGCACAGGTACCTCAGTGCACGTGGAAGTGAGAGGACAACTTGCAGGAGTCAGCGCTCTCCCTCCACCACGCAGGTTCCAGGAATCTATCTCAGATCACCAGCCTCAGCAGCAAACACACTCCCCACTGAGTTGTCTCACTGCCCCTCATTCAATAGACACTCACTAGCACCCGCACGCTGTGCTTTATTCTGAGCTCAAGATACAAGGAAAAAATTATCCTCTGCCCTGGGCTTTTCTATTCTAGGATTCCTGGGGCGGGGATGGACAGAGTAGGTGCCCTGGATGCCTCTGATTGTAAGTATGTATTTGACAGTGCATCCACAGAAGTGAAAAACGGACTTGAGAACTATGGATCCCCCGTCCTGCCAAGGTCCAGTCTCATCTGTGATGGCGAGTATTGCTTAAGGCTAGCCTGGATTACATGAGACCCTGTTGAAAAGGTGGGATAGGAGGAAGGAAAAGAAAAAAAGAAACAGAAAAGGGGATAGAGAGAAAAAAACTTCCATGTGGTACACTTCCCACACACCTCCTTCTCCACTAAAGAAACCACACGAGGCTCGTGTCCACTTCACCATTCACTTTTATCATCACCATCAGCAGCAACATCACTATCACCTCATTCCCTGTTTCCAGCCCCTCATCTTGGACTTGCCCCCTGCCCTCTCGCCAGCCCCATCCCTCTGCCCCAGCACATGGCAGACCAGCTCAACTCTCAAGACCTCAGGCACCAACCCCCAGGGTACAGCAACGGGCTGCTGTCCAATCTATGCCTGCACACTGGCAGTGACACGTTGTTCCCTCTCGAACATCCCACGAGCCACAGGCAGAGCCACAGGAGCAGCTGGTGACTGCTAAGCCTGCAAAGAGAGAAGCCCCTGAGAAGCTGAGAAACTGCAGGAGTGGGCGGGGGAGATGGGCTGAGGAGGCTGGAGGCTGTTGCCTGGGAAGTAGAGGGTAAAATGACGGGGTGGAGGGCTGATGGAGACCTGGAGCTGGGCTGGGAGCAAGAAGACTGGAGGGTGGGACAGAGTCCTAAGGAAGTAGATATTGGGGACCGAGTTGAGGAAGCAGAGGAGTCTCAGGGGACGTCCAGAAAGTCTGAGCAACAGTTTGCACTCACCTTCTGGGCAAGAGGCCAAGTCCCCTCTGGAAGAGACTGTCCGGCATCGGATGCCACCGCTGATTACTGCTTCTGACCCTGCAGAAAGGAGGGCGGAAGGGGTGGTAAAACGAGGCTGTCCCAACTGCATCCTTGCGCGGGGAGACCTCCGGGTTTGACACTAGCAAAGGAGTCAAACCCTTCCCATTAGAGTGGGGAGATGGCTCAGTGGGTAAAGAGTTTGACTCACAAGTGCGAGGACCAGAGCTCAGATTCCCTGAACCCACCTAAAAGCCAGGCAGGCATGCGTAGGGCCACCTATAAACCCGGCGTCCAGGAGACAGACAGACATGGGGTCCCCAGAACAAGCTGCCTAGACTCTCCCAAGCCCACAAGCCCTGGGTTCAACTGAGGGACTCCGCCTCAACAAAGTAGAGAGAAATCAGGGATGATGGCTCTACGTCAGCTTCAGGCATCCCCATGCCGATGCACACACATGCACCTTCACACATGTGTACCACATATATACACATACACACACACATGTGCAGCACACTTGTGTATAGTAAAATAATTTGTCCCCCGAGAGGATAGAATGGTGGCTCACACCTGTACTCCAAACACTCAGGAGACTGAGGCAAAAGGAACAGGGGCTGGAAGACTTCTTGAACTGCAAATTGAAGCCTTTTGGGGGTGAGGGGAGGTTTGGGGGTGATGATGGGAAGGAGTTAGGTTGTGGGTTGGAGCTGTGATTCAAGGTAGGGCAGGGTGGGGTTGGGTTGGAAGCTGCAGACTGGGTGAGTTTAGCCTTGCAGCTGGGTGGGTCTGTGATGAGACTCCACGGGGATGAGATAAGCCTGTGAGGCCCTCAGCAAGGTTGGGTGGGGGGCTCCTCACATAGGGAGCTGAAGCTTTGCTTGATCTTCTTGTCAATGGCTTTATCCATGGAACAGAGTGACCTGCTGGAGTCCAGCAACCCCGGGACAGGGAAGAGGAGGAAGAGGAGGAGAAGCGAGAGGTTTTTCATCCTGTAAGTACTGCAAGAGACAACCAAGAGCCCCACCTTAGATCAGACCCTTCCCACGCTGGAGAGAGCCAGACCACAATGGCCTTTGGTACCTGTGGAACACAGGAATGGACATTCAGTGACCCTAGGTACCCCACATCAGAGCTCCGACTAGGGAAGGGCTGTCACTTACTGTGGCAGTGGACTCAGCGGGACACAAATCAGGTCTGGCCATGAGCTCCTGTCCCACAGCTCCTTTTTGTAGACCTCTGGACGGAGCCCATCCTGCCTTGGGTAATAAGTCCCTTGGCCCCTTGGCCCTTGCCCTCCATTGCCACATCTGGGCCAAGAGAAGCAGACTCTAGAGACCCCAGAGGAGGTACTTCCCTCCTGCACAGCCCCTCCTGCATCAGGTACTGCTCAGGAGGTGATATCTGCGGATAACTCCAGGGACCAGAGTGGGAGAGGCAGGGGTAGGAGTCAAGGCTTTACCTTCAGGGAGGGGCTGGACATTCAAACTGAGACAATGTCCCTGTGTGACCACAGCTGTCGTGTATGTTTCTTTGTTTGGTTGTAGACATACTCTGTAATCGAGTCCTACCACCTAAAATCTAGACAAGTGCTCAGTTGCTGAGTCACATCCCCAGCTCCTCACTAGGGGATTCTAGGCAGGCCCCTAACTCTGAACTATGTCCCCAGCCACTTAGCTGAAGAGTCTCCGCAGGTGCTTTCTGCCTGGGCTACACCTCCAACCCCTCAGGGCTGTACTCTATGCAGATAGTCTACCATGGAGCTTCCAGCCCCACACCATAGGAGTGTAAGCAGGAGCTTTACCATGAATTTAAGCCCCCAGCCCTTCTTGGAAGGTTCCAAAAGTCACTCTAGCTGTCAGCCATCACCTGAAGCTCGTCACTGGGGGATTCTAGGCAAGAGCTCTACGTTCTGGTTCAGGGAGCAAGGGGCCAACCCTCTGGGTCCTTTGGAAATCCCTCTTTCTCACACGTAACTTAAATGATAACCACTGGGTGGTCATAGTTCTGGTCCGAATACAGAATATTCATGTATATAAATGACTCAGTGGGACTGGTTTATTTTCTCACTTTAAAAATATTATTTAGAAAAAAATATTTAGTTGTTATTGTATTGTGTGATTGTGTGTATGTGTGTGCACACGCGCGCGCACCATGCCTTGGTGGAGGTCAGAGGACGACTGAACTCAGGTTGTCAGGTTTGCAAACTGTTGGACTTGGACTTGTTGCACTGACCTCTCTCCATCCTCCCCCCCCCACACACACACACAGGGTTTCTCTGTGTACAGCCCTACTGTCCTGGAACTTGACTGGTAGATCAAATTGGACTTGAACTCACAGAGATCCACCCACCTCTGCCTCCCAAGTGCTGGAATTAAAGGAGTGCGCCACCACCACCCAGCTCTCCATCTTTAATGAGACGGCGACTGATGCGAAATTGAGATCGGCAGAGGAAATTATAAATCAGACGAATGAAAAGACTTTAATATGCTGGCTGTGATGAGCAATATTCAGGAGTTGGTTATCTCCTACCATGTGGGTCCCAGGGATTAAACTCAGATCCTCAGGCCTAGATGCAGGTTCCTTCATCAGCCATCTCATCAGTCCCAGTGCAGTATTATCAAGAAGGGCAAGGCAGCAGTGCTTATAACCATAACACTTGAGAGAGAGTTAGAGGTCCGAGGTTTGGGAGTTTAAGATCATCCTTGGCAACATAGTGCGTCCCTGGCCTGCCTGAACTACATGAGACCCTGTCTCAAAGGCCTGATATTATGACCATAGCTGGGTTTTGGTGAGGAGTGCTACCACCATCACTACGATGCAGCTCAGGGGGGAAAGAAAAAACCTTTAACTGGAGTCAGAGAGCTGGCTCAGCCATTAAGAGTGTCTACTGCTGCTCTGGTGGAATTTAGTTCCAGCATCCACATCAGGTAGATCACAAACACCTATAAACTCCAGTACCAGGAGATCTAACGCCCCCTTCTGGCCTCTGTGGGCACCTACACTCACATGCACATATATGCACACATAGACATAGATGGAAAAGAAAAATCCTCAACTGGTAAGCCTAGAGGCTGAGCCCAGTGACACCATCGTGTCAAAGGCAAAGATCCAAGGCAAGAACAGCATCTCCCCAGCCCAAATCAGCACAAGTTGATCTTTGTCAGCAAGAAGCTAGAAGATGGCCAAGATGGCCACGCCCAGGGGAATCTGCCCTGTGCCTGCTTCATCTCAGAGGCGGGGTGCATATTCTTGTAAAGCCCATCACTCTGGAGGGGGAGCCCAGTAATACCATTGAGCTCATAAAAGGGCAGAAAGATGGACACATCATTCTCAATACACCCAGACAGTCCTCTGGCCTGGAGGGAGGGTACCTTCTTTTTCCCTCTTTTAAGTATTTGACAAGTTTCATTTGTTATACTTGAAATAAACAGCTTGTACTTGCCAGGCAGTGGTGACGCACGCCCTTTTAATCCCAGCACTTGGGAGGCAGAGGCAGGCAGATCTCTGTGAGTTCGAGGCCACTCCACAGAGTGAGTGCCAGGACAGGCTTCAAAGCTACACACAGAAATTGTCTCAAAAAAACAAAATAAAACAAAAAAGCTTGTGCTCCCCTCGCATCTGTATTATTACCTATAGCCTCAGGTTGCTGTTGGTTTTAAAGAATCATCTTTAATAATGAAAGGCAAAAAGAAAGATTTCCCCAATGTGACCAGTGTCGTTTCTACTTTTGTTTGTACTTCTAAACTTCTAGTTGTGTGTATGTATCTGCTACATGAGCGCCATGCCCATGGGAGCCAGAAGAGAGCACTGGGTTCCTTCGAACTGGAGTTACAGGTGGTTGTGAGCCACCATGTAGGTATTGGGAACCAAACTTGGGTCTTCTGCAAGAGCAGCCAGTGTCCGTGTTGGTTTTTGGATTGTTTGTGTTTGCTTGTTTGTTTTCACAGGTCTCAAGTATCCAAATCTGTCCTTGAACTCCTCATGTGGCCAAGGGTACGAAAAGAGTAACCTTGCCTTGAACTAATTTTCTTTATATTTTTGTTACGTGTATTTATATTTTATTTATGTGTATAGGGGGTTGTGACCCTCAAAGAGCCAGAAGTGGGTGTCAGACATGGGTACTGGGACCCAAACATAGATCTTTGAGAACCGCAAGCATTCTTAACCACTGAGCCATCTCTCCAGCCCCAACCTTGAACTTGTGATCTTGCTGCTTTAACCTCTCCAATGCTAGGATTCCAGTCTCCTTTTGCCAAGCTCCATCTATGTTGGACTGTGTTAAGCCTGACACCTTGTTTTCTCCAAGCTACATCTCCACTTCCTCTTCTCCTTGACTTAACAAAGTGTCCCCATGTTAAAAGGAACCCCTAAACACACAACTTTACAAAAAAAAACTTCCTTAAATTGATCTTGTGTGTGTGTTGTATGTGCAGGACTGTGTGTGATGTATGTGCCTGTGTGCATATGCAGGCACAAAGATGCAGAAGACAGAGAAGCATGCCAGGTGCCCAGATCCATCACTCCTGGCCTGATTCCCATGACGCGTGATCTCTTACTGAACCTGGGCCTAGACCAATAGTCAGAGAGCCTTGCAGTCCTTCTGTCTCAGCCACACTTATGGCTGGGGCTAGAGGCAAGCACACAACTAACTGTAGCTTTTCCCATGGGTGTGAGAGATGCACACTCAGGTCCTCATCCTTGAGCAGCCAGAGCTCTCACCCACTGGGCCATCTCCCCAGCTACAGTCCTTGCGTTTCTACTGCCAGGAGTAACTAAAGTAATGGGTCGTGGATTTATGGAGCAACTTAAAACTTCCTCCAAAAGAAGAAGTCTTGAGGGAGGGAAGGAGTGGGGCCAGGACCATCTGGTTACCGTTTCCTGAAATGAAGTTGAGCCATCCTCCTTCCAACTCCCTCCTCCCATCTCTTCAGCCTCTGCCATTAACCCCGATGACTACACATGTACCGCAACGCTCCCTCTCAACTCTTGCAAGAGTTGTGTGCAATTTTACAGATGGCACAACTGATGTCACGTGAGGTGGACGCACATTCAAAAGGCTACTGGGACAGCTGGGGAGGTGGCTCAGTCAGGAAAGTGCTTGTTCTGTAAGCATAAGGATCTAAACTTAACTCCTCAGCATCCACAATAAAAACAAAACTATACTTATAATCCCAGTGATGGGGAGGCAGAAACAGGAGGATCCCTAGGGCTGGACAGCCAGAGTCTAGCTTGAATCAGCAAACTTCAAGTTCAATTTTTAAAATATCACCCTGCCTCAAAAAATAAAGGTGGAGAGTTAGGTTGTGGTTCAGGGAAAGAGCCCCTGCCTAGAATTCCCCATTGAGGGGCTGGTGTGTAACTCAGGGGAAAAGCAGCTACCTAGAATACCCCATTAGGGGCTAGGGCATGGCTCATGGGAAGAGTCCCTGCCTAGAATCCTTCTGTAAGGGATTGGGGTATGGCTCAGGGGAAGAGCCCCTGCCTAGAATTCCCCAGGGAGGGGCTGGGGTGTGGCTCAGGGGAAGAGCTCCGACCTAGAATCCCTCAATGAAGGGCTGGAGCTTGGCTCAAGGGTATGCCAAGACCTCAGGTTCTATCCCACGCACCGTGCACAAACACAAGATAGAACTGTGTACAGCCAATTACCATGTGCTGCTAACCTTAGACCCAGAGGACATCACCCTTGCCTCAGAAAGGACATCCTTTCCCCTACCAGGCCATTCCCTCACCCCAGACACATTTTCACAATGTTCTTGGCAGCAAGGAGTCGTCAGTCAACTTGTGTTGCCAGATTTGAGCAACTTCAACAACACAAAAATGTTCTGGACGGAGAATTTGATGGCTATTGTTTCTTTCTTTTTTCTTTTTTTAATTTGTGCAGCAGTGAGGACTGAATCTAGGGCCTTAACCACGCTGAACCAGTGCCATACTGCTGAGGCACGCTCCACCCTCACTATTGGGTTCCAAGCAGGGGCTGTACCTCTGAGCCATGTCCCCAGTTCCTTTCCGGGAAACTTCAGGCAAGCACTCCACTGCTAAGTCATGCCTAGAGCCCCACCTAACACCTTACCTGGAGAGTTACTGAGGGCTAGGGACATGCCCTGAGAGGACAGCATAGGCCCCTTGTTATGAGGCAACAGGAAGGATCCAGCAAGCGCAGCATTTTCCTGGCTACTGATCACTGAATCAAATTAAAATGGATGCTGTTTGTTTACGGAAGACAGGAAGGCAGGGGTGGGAGCCCATAGATGCTGGGAGACCCATTATGGAAGGTGCCAAGGAAGCCAGCAATCAAACCCGGAGTGTGGGACACTCCACAGTCCGGGAAAACAACATGTAGCAAGTAATGCTAATGCGGTGACACTTGAGCTAAGGGGAGGTAGCAGGAGAGCTGCAGGCGCAAAAGCCCCTGGGACAGGAACAAAGTGTCACTGGTTAGAGGAAGGTCAGCGAGTTCCCCCGAGGGGTTTACCCACGTAACACAGGAAGCAAGAGCGGACATTTTATTCTCATAGAGATTCTTTGTATTGTGGAAGGTGTGCCAAGATATCAGATGATGACATTTACTATGGGGGACAATTAATACTTGCCAATCAAGATTTGTGTCTGGTACAGACACTGTACTGGCTAGTTTTATGTCACATTGATACAAGCTAGAATCATGAGAGGAAATACTTCCTTTGGGCTGTATTAATCAGAGATTAATATGGAAGGGCCCATCCCATTCATTGTGGGTGGTGTCACCCCTGGGTTGGTCGTATTGGGTTCTATAAGAAAGCAGGCTGAGCAAGCCAGTAAGCAGCACCCCTCCATGGCCTCTCCATCAGCTGCTGCCTCCGGGTTCCTGCCCTGTGTGAGTCCCTGCCCTCACTGCTTTTGATGATGAACTGATATATGGAACTGTGAGTGAAATAAACCCTTTCCTCCCCAAATTGCTTTTGGTCATATTTCATCACAGCAGTAGTAACCCTAAGACACACACATCGCTTCGAGTATCATTAGAAGTTAAGGTGGCTGCCTGGTGGTGGTGGTGGCACATGACTTTAATCTGAGCACTCGAGAGGCAGAGGAAGGTAGGTCTCTGTGAATATGAAGCCAGACTGGTGTAAAGAGCACGTTCCAGGAAAGGCTCCAAAGCTACACAGAGAAACCCTGTCTTGGGGCAAAAAAAAAAAAAAAAAAGAAAGAAAAGTAGGCAGGGACAGTGGATCTACCCCTGCCTTTTAATCCCAGCACTGCCCCCACCCCCACCCTGGTCCACATCGTCTCACAGTCAAGACAACATAGTGTGATGAGATTTTTTTTTTTAATAAAAAAGTGAGAGTAGCTTGAGCAACAGAGTTTTGCTTCTGTTGAGCACCAAGGACTAATCCTTAGTCCACGTAAAGTCGCTTAAACCCTGATTACAATCTGGAATGAGCAAAGAAACTGGAAAGTTGAGCTGCAGCATCCCCTGGCGCTCGTCTTGCTTAACTACACAGATTCTGGGAAAGAAACCGCAGTTTTCCACCAGGGATCGTAGAGCTTACATTTTTACCTTTAGAATTACCTCCCATGCCAGAACACCCCAGCACTTCCGAGCCTGAGGCAAGGGGATAGCGAGTTCCCGGGCAGCCTGAGCTACAGAGCAGGAAAAACACCCTTCATCTCCCTCCACTTAACACCGACCCCTTCCGCACTGAATCTAGGACAGCTGGTCTCCGGGGTGGGGGCGGGATAAGTCTGCGACGACCCACTTCCTCCCACACAATTATTATTCATCCCACAGATTTCATGATCTTTCTGTCCCGAGTTGGGGCGCTCAGAACAATCCGGTTAGAATACCAGGGGCTCGTGTTCTCAACCGTTCTGGGAATTGTCTTTAGATTCCCTCGACTTAAATGAACTCGCAATCAAAAGGAGCCTTCTTGCTGGCTGCAACTCTTCATAAAGCATAGTTCACAAGCCCAGAAGGGGACCCAAGAGAAGTAAACATCGCACCGCCAAGGGGCGCTACGTTTGGCTCCAGCCCAGCCCACAACCATGGTGTCCATTTATCAGTAACCAAAAATCTTGACGGGCCCTGTACTTCTCACCTTATTCTAAGGTCAGGGATGGAACCCGGGACTTCCGGCAAGCTCTAGAGTCCCAGCATCAATGGTCAACACTCTACTTCCACGTTTTCAGCTTTGCAGCCTTGAGCTCCCCATGCCCTTCTACTCACATCATCCCCTCCAGATGAAACACGTTGGGGTGCCTTCCATCCTGTCCACACCTGTCTGGTTGTGTCCCCAGAGGGATGGACCCTTCTCTGAATTATTCACAGTGAAACACGTCTTCTGTCACCCAAATGTTGTGGGCTAAATTGTATCTGTTCCCCAGAGTTAGATGCTCATGTCCCAACCCTTAGTATCTCAAGATGACTGATTATTTTATCTATATTTAGAAACAAGGTCTTTTAAAAGATAATTACAAAAAACAAAATGAGGCCAGAGGGTGGGCTCTAATCCAATATGCGATGTCGTAAGAGGAAACTAGGACACCTGTAAGGAGCTACGCGAGGACACAGGGAAATAGCCGACCTCAGAGCTGGAGATGTGGCTCAGCTGGAAGAGAGCTTGCCTAGCACGCTTGAAGAACTGTGTTCATCCCCAGCACTGCATAAACTACATGGTGGTGCTCAGCTGTAACCCCAACAGTAAGGCAGAAGAACCAGGAATTCAAAGACATCCTTGGCTATTTAACAAGGCCAGCCTGGGGCTACAGGATACCCTTCCTTGAAACAAAAGATGGTCATCTAGAAACCAAACAAGCCAACACCCTGGGTAAAGACCAAGCTCCCAGAGCCATGGGACAATAAATTCCTGTTAAGTCATGCAGAGTGACGTGCTTTTATTTATTTGTATTGTGCATGTGTGCGCGCGCTCGTGTGCACGTGTCTGGGTTCACACTGAAGCCATGAGAGAGCACTGAATCCTTGGAGCTGGAGCTACAGACAGTTGTGAGCCACCCAGTGCAGGTGTTGGGAACCAAATTCTAGTCCTCTGTAAGCAGCAAGCACTCTTAACTTCTGAGCTGTCCAGACCCTGGGGATACTTTTTAAGTTGACCCTAAGAAACAAATATATCTCTACTAAAAGCTCTGAGAAGACCTGCAATTCAAGTCTACAGGCATACCTTGGGGTTGGGCCAGTGGGGATATGTTTGCTGTGTGTTTTAAATGCTTGGTCCAATTCCTGGAATTGTGGCTGCAAGTTAAACTTGCAATAGCTTCTGGAAGGTTGCAGGGAAGTCAGGATTCAGGCTTACTCTACCTTCTATTTCTGGGGCTGGAGAGAGGCCTGTGGTCAAGAGCACTGCTACTCATGTAGAAGAACCAGGTTTGATTCTTAAGAGCCCACATGGCAACTACAACCGTCTATAACTCTGGTCCCTGGGATCCAACACCCTACTCTGACCTCTGCAGGCATTGCATGCATATGCACAAACATACACGCAAGCAAAAACATTCATACACATAAAATAAATAGAAACGTTAGAAACTGTTATATAAGTCTAAAGCACTCTAGTTACAATGGGGTCCCAGCCCTGCCACCCCCTGATCTGCAGCTTTCTGCTCTCTCCTCTGCAATCTGTCTGCTAAAATAGGACCTTGGGTATTGGATGGTTCCCAGCAAGATAGCCAGGGCCTTATAAACTTGCAGCCAATACAGAACCTACAGCCCAGGTTCTCAAATTTCACAACAGCTGACAATGTGGCTGGGGGCCAGGGAAATGTTCTGAGCAGGGCAGTAAAGAATGGGAGGTTTGCAGCGCAGGACTGGCTCAGTATAGCCCCCTCTGGGAAGCAAATGAGGTAAGCCCTGAGGGAAAGACCAAGGGAGGAGTTTATTTCTCTGGAACCGGAGAGCACAGAGGCAGGGGCTGAGTCAAGGCAGGGCCATGTCCTCCAGCTTCTGATCCAGGGTCTTGAGGTCATCAAGGAAGCGGGTTGGAGTAAGGATGTGAGAAGAGCCTGGGCAGGAGGGCAAGGATGGGGAGGTACAAGTCCCGCCTGGGAGTCTGTTACTCCTGGCTAGTGTCCTGGCTGGTGAGAGCAATGCCCTGTCTTCTCAATGATTTAGGAGTCCTGAAGCTTAGGAACATGGGTGTCCCGGTCCCAGGTGCTTACTCCCCTGGGGACCCAAGCCCCAGCTCCTTAGAGACCCCAGCTTCCTGTCCCAAACCCAAAAACGTCAGAGTCTAATCCTAGGCCTTTAGGGACTCTTGAGTTCAGCCCCAGAGCCCAAGGGGCCTCAGAGTCCAGTCCTAGATTCCAAAAGACTCCAGAATCCAGCCCCGGGCTTTTAGGGACCCAGAATCGAGCCCCAGGGTCCAAGAAAGCTCAAATCCATCCCCAAGTCTTAAGAGTCTTAGGCCTTTTGGGATACCAAATCTAACTGAAGACTCCAAGGGACCCCCAAGTACAGCCCTGGACACTAAGAGTCCCCAGAGTCAAGCTCCCAAGGACCCCAGTTCTGGCTACTCACCTATAAGAACTTCCCACTTGCCTTCAGTAGCCCTGGTCACTTCATAGGCAGCCCTCATTTCAGACATGGCCACACCACCCACAATGTACACGATGAGCCTGGGCCCAGCCCGAGCCTCGATGCCAGCCTTTTTATGCCAGTGGCCAAAGCGGGCACTGCTGGGGTGATGGGCAGAGGTCAGTCCAGGCTGGTATTCCCAGTCCCCACCCCAGGCCTCTCCAGGATCCTCACCTGACAGCTGCCTGGGAGCTAGGCACAGGGGTAGGGTCAGACACGAAGGGCCACAGCTTTCGGTCCAGCCGGTCCTCCACCACATCCTGGGAGGCCAGACAGGAAGGGTTAAAGAATCCCAGCCAGTGGAGCCCAGGAACTGAAATGGCCTGGGCCACAGCACCACTGTCTATACTTCCTTGTCTCTCGGCGACCCAGGAGTCCAGGAAGCCAAGGTTCAAGGATGCTAGGCCCCCAAGCAGGAGGTACCAGGACCTTCCAAAGACTGGGAACAGAGGCCCCAATATACTACTATTTGATGTTGATGCTTAGGGGTACCAGGGTGGCCAGAGGCCAGCATAAGAAAGGCTTTTCTAGTAAGGCATTCCATTGAGGTCCCAATTGCTGGGGTGCAGTTTTACATGCCCACAGAGCAGATAGGGTGCCAGAGGTATGCTAAATAGTGAAGGATTTTCCACTAAGCCCCAAGGCTTAGCACTGAGAGCCTGGGTGGGCGGAGTGGAAGGCTTAGTGGGTAATGGGATCAGTAGAGAGGAACAGGGGCCCCCAGCATGTGTACCTCCATCACATCTTTGATGACCGGGGACCAACGGGACAGCTGGTAGGTGGGCTCCATGCGCTCCCTTCTCTCCAGCCGGCTGGAGGTCCCCGAACCCTACAGATGGGGCCAGGTGGGGATGGAATGGGGTTGGGAAGGGAAGGAGCCCATCACAGATGGGAAGGGACTACAGGTGCACAGAAAGATGGAGGCATGAATCAGAAAGACAGAGAAGCAGTAGCAAAAAGACAAAAAAAAAAAAAAAAAAAAAAAAAAAACAGAGACAGAGAGACAGAGACACAAAAAAGCAGAGAGAAGAGAGAATTTGAGAGATATAAACAGGCAGAGGCAGAAACAGAGGTAGACAGAGACAAGATACAGAGAGAAAGATGGGAAGATAGAGAGAGATGGGAGATGGATACAGAAAGACACAAATACAAGAGACAGATAAAAAAGACAAAGAAAGAAAGAGACAGATAAAGAAAGAGGCATGCAGACATGGAGATATAGAGATGGACACAGAGGGAGAGAGACAGAGTAGGAATGCAAAGGGAGAGAAAAAAAAACAGAAATGGGAAGGGAGAAACAGAACAAAGAAAAATAAGGAAGATGGAAGTCAGGTGAAGGATACAGAAACAGCAAGAGGCAAAGGACGAGCCAGGCATGGCAGGTCACATCTACAATCCCAGGAACTTCGGAGGTTAATGCAGGGGATGGCCATGAATCTGAGGCCAGTCTGAGTTATGGAGTGAGTTTAAGATCAGCCTTAGCATCCAAGTGGTGGTAACTCACGCCTTTAATCCCAGCACTAAGGAGGCAGAGGCAGGTGGATGTCTATGAGTTCGAGGCCAGCCTGGACTACAACATGAGTTCTAGGACAACCTGTGTACACAGAGAAACCCTGTCTTGGGAGGGAAAAAAATCAGCCTTAGTTTAGTTGCAGAGTGAATTCAAGGCCAACCTGAGCTACATAGTAAAAGCTGCCTCAGAATAAAAAGAATGCGTGAGAGACAGACAGACAAGAGACAGGGGGAAGGACAAGGGACAATGTCACAGGCCTGTGGCACAGCAGAATCAAGCAAAGTTGGACATGTAGGTCAGGGAAAGACAGACCTCAGAGTAGAACACAGGAAACCATCATGTGTGTTGAGTGGGGGAAGAGGCTTACTGTGGCCTCCAAAAGCCCAGTTTGACCCTGACTCCCATTAATGTTGACTCACTCTCCCACTTGCCCTGGAAGGCTCAGATCACACACCCCTACTGTACCAGCACCTAGGGGGTTCATTTCAGCTCTGCTGCCCATCATGTTAGGGAACTGGGGAGGGCCTTGGTACTCTTGGTCCCCAAAAAGCCACACCATGCTATACAGCCAGGCTGGACATGCATTATCCCTATCCTACAAGGGCCAAGCTCCACGGCTCATCAGCAAGCTCCCTACATACCGCAGAGTTGGTGACGGTGCCCCCCAGCTGCTCCAGATTCCGGATGAGGTTGCTGTGGTCCTGCACGTTGGCATGCTGAATCAGCTTGGCCAGGTTTTCCTCAGTCACACCTGGGGAGAGCAACAGGGTAATAAATAGTAAGTGACTGGTGGCATCCTGTGTGAAGAGATCTGTAAAGAGATCTCACAGGTAGGACATCTCCAGAATCCAGAAGCTTCTAGTGTTCATAGAAACGAAGAGTTGTAGATAGCTATCTCTGAAAAGGTAGAATGGGCGAATCTTCCAGAATTAGTTGAAGAAAGCTGGAGAAATGGTTGAGTGGGTTAGAGTGTCCGCAGCACAAGCATGAGATCCTGAGTTCAAATCCATAATGCCCACGTAAAAAGCTGGGTGTGGCCACAGAAGCAGGAAGATCACTGGGTACTTCTAGACCCAGGCCTAGGTCAGGTTCAGGGAGAGACCCTGTTGCCGAGACTTGAGACTTGA